TAAACGCTAGACACAGACTTTGGCGGAATCATAGAGGAAATACCAACGGTATGATCCTAAATGATTTCGTCAACGACCGACCGGAGTTGATACTCCTCAGTACTGAATCGCCCACCCACTACCCCAGCAATAACATGACACCTACATACATCGACCTTGCCATCAGCAAAGGACTCAGGGAACTTTCGGATCTAGTTACGATCAATGCCCTGAGCTCGGACCATCTACCCGTCTTCTTCACCTGGGGCGAACTTGATCCTCCCCGCCCACAAGTTCGTCTAAGTTATAAAAACTTCAATTGGCCCCTGTTTCGGCAGAATCTCAACACCATAACCCAAATTCCTGGTCAAATTGACACCATTGAAGCTCTTGAGCAAGAGGTTTCAACCTTGACCAGGAATGTCCAGCAAACCCAAACTTCCCTTGCTAACCGTGTGACTGTTCATCAAGGCCGAGAGGAGCTCTCACGAGAGCTCATTGCACTCATCTCGCTGAAGAATCGCACCCGGAGGAGGTGGCAACGCCTCCGAAGGGACGAGGATCGCCTGCGCGTTCGGGAACTCGAGGGTGCCATCAAGGATGGCATCAGCGAGCTCAGGAACCGCAAATGGACAGAAACTCTCCAAAACCTTCGTCCTCAAGATAACTCTCTGTGGCGCCTTCAGTCAAAAATGAGGCGGCAGCCTGTGCGTAACCCTGCACTTACTAGTAATGGCAGGGATTGCGTCACTGCCCCAGACAAGGCGGAAGCTCTGGCTTCGTTCATGGAGAGTATTCATTCCGGTCTCCCGCCCAACTCCCCTGAACAGGAGGAAATCGAGCGTATAGCGACAGCCTTTGCTATTAGGAAATACCCCATCCCCCAGCACTTGCTCGCTGAACTTATTGTCACGCCCGGTGAGATGACACGATTTATCCGCCGGCTCCCAAGCGAAAAGGCCCCCGGACCAGATGGCATCCCATATCGAGCCCTTAAAAATCTTCCGCGGAAAGTTATTGTCCAACTGGTACAAATAACTAACGCAATCCTAAAACTACAGCATTTTCCTTTTCAATGGAAAAAGGCTGTAGTGGTTATGATCCCCAAACCAGGAAAAAACCTTACACTCCCATCCTCTTACCGCCCAATTTCCCTTCTAAACTCCTTTGCCAAGCTCGTGGAGAAGTTAATCCTGTCTAGGGTCAACAGGTTCGTCGAAAACTTCTCCATCCTCCCAAACGAGCAGTTCGGATTCCGCCCTCGTCACAACACAACTCTTCTTGCAGCCAAAATCTGCTGCGATGTCTTCCAAGCGTTCAACAGGCGCATGAACACGACACTTCTGCTCCTAGATATGGAGCGCGCCTTCGATAGGGTCTGGCATGCAGGCCTTATCTATAAACTTCTCGCAATATTCAACTTCCCACTGCACCTCATCTCCTTGATACAGTCTTTTATCAGCGGCCGCACTTTCTGCGTCAAACAGGAAGACGCCCTCTCAAACTCCAAACCCATTCAGGCCGGAGTGCCGCAGGGGTCGGCACTCAGTCCACTGCTGTACTCTCTGTACACAGCGGACATTCCAAAATTCCACAATACAAACCTGGCGCTATACGCAGATGACACCGCTGTTTACGCTCAATCCTTCTACACACAGGCAACAAAATTTCAACTTGCCCATCACCTTTCACTCCTTCAACCCTACTACGATAAGTGGAAGCTTGGTGTTAATGGTCAAAAAACGGAAATGATATGTTTCCACAAGAAACATACCAATAGCACCATGCCCACCCCACTTATCGTAAACAACATCCCAGTGACTCTATCCCCAAAAGCCAGATACCTCGGCATCATATTCGATCAGAGAATGAAATTCCATCATCATGTATCCCACGCTTTGGCTCGCACCTTCAGTGCGCAGCAAAAACTCTACCCCCTCATCGGCCCTAACTCCTCCTTATCACCTGCAAATAAATTGCTAATTTATAAGCAGGTAATAAGACCAATGTTGACCTATGGGGCCCCTGTCTGGAACATCATATCAACCACGCAAAGGAATCGGCTGCAGAGATTCCAAAACCGCATCCTGAGGGGAGTCCTTTCGGAGTCCAGGTACGCCAGGATAAGGGACATGCATGTGCAAGCATCCATTCCCTATATCTCTGACTACCTGGATGACGTCAGCGATAGGTTTTATCGAGAGGGAATCAATGGATCCCCCATCACACGCAATATAACTGCCATAAGATATGACCCAGACAACCCCATAGTTCACGGTCCCCCATACAAGAATTTACCCCTCTATTTTGAACCCCCGTGAACACCTCCCACATCCCAAACCTGCTAACCACACTCCAAATAAATTCAAAAACCTATCCAATGCACAGCTAAAATCCACCCGCCGAGATAAAATTAGACAAGGAAATCTGGCGATAATGCCAACTGCCAAGTCTAAAGCAGGAGACTGGCAATCCTGATAACGGTCTAAAATTCTATCATCAGTTCTTCGGAAAATTCCAACTAGCCAGAGATTTAGTGTGTATTTAACTCCTCTATCGCTGGCTATGAGGAAACCAACTTGTCTAATTAGCCATCAAACACCCCCATTTCGACCAACAAAACTAGGCACAAATAGCCCAATTTAGCTGCAAACATGCATATCCCAATCCCGGTAAATTCTTGCACCCAACCCCAACCCTCATTCTCTGACATCCCAAAATTCCACATCACCTGCACCAAAACCATTACCTGGAGGCTCATCAGGCCTCAGGATTGGTCAGGCTGCAGGGTTGTGGAACCCCCTTTATTCTTACCCGCGCTCACGCGCACCCATCCTCAAAGCTCACTTAATTGTTAGTGACGCTGCGTCCAGTGGACCCAAACGCCCAAAAGGGCACAACTTTTTGTTTTTTACCATTAAATCAATGATAAGCGGGGTTTTTCAATGCTTTTCCCCGCAGAAGGGCGCTGGCGCTCTACAACCCAAATCTGAGCAAACAACCACCAATATCCTCAGACAGGTCACTGTGGTGATCTAGGGCGCGCCATTCGTGGTATTCACCATCGACTCTAGGGTCACAAAAGCGACGCATAAGGGAGACCAGGAAGCGTCGGAAAGAGGTATCCTACAAAAATAGGCACAGGGACTCGATAGGTCAACAACACCGACCGGGGCTGGAGATCGCGCACTGTACGCTAGGCGTACAAGTGTGCGGCGGCGTGCTGCGTCACGCCGTAAGTTTAGCCTTAAGTAGTCTTTGTCCTAGGTTTAGTAAATGTCTGTAAATATTTAAGTTAAGGGGTCCCAGCCCGGTTAGCTTTAGGTATTTATTGTACATAGATAATTATTTAAATAAAGATGTTTGAGTTTTGAGTTGAGTTTTCAAAGAGTTGTTGACAGTATAATCAAGAAAGAAAATCTTCAATGCACATATATGCCTATCTTGATGATATCACAGTAGGTGGTAAGACTCAAGAAGAGCATGACAGAAATCTTCAAAAACTCTTTAAAGTTGCTGAAAAGTATAAACTTACTATAAACTCTACTAAATCAATGTACGGACAAAAATAAATATCCTAGGATACGAAATTGAAAATCAGCAAATCAAACCTGATCCTGATCGACTTCGTCCATTCTTAGAATTGCCTCCACCAGGAGATTATTCTTCATTAAAACGAGTATTGGGAATGTTTTCCCATTATGCAAAATGGATTCCAAGATTTTCGGATAAAATCAGACCACTCGTACAAACACAATAATTTCCTATGTCACAAGAAGCTCTATCGACTTTCTACTCTGAAAGAAGATATTTCAAAAGCTGTTGTCACTGCCATTGATGAAAATCTCACATTCACAGTAGGAACAGATGCATCACACTATGCCACTGGAAGTTATTGCTTATCACAAAATGGAGCTCCTATAGCATTTTTCTCAAGGACAGTCGAAAAGGAAGCCTATGCTATAGTTGAAACGCTTCGGAAATGGCTCTGTTTCTTTTATCTTTGATGATAAGCATGCAGGAAAAATACAAAATGATAAAATACAACGATGGTGGTTGGAATTGGCCTGTTACAAATATGACATTGTACATAGACCAGGAAGGGAAAACATAGTGGCTCAAGAGTTTGTGCCGTTATAAATACTAAAGAAGAACAACAGAATACTGTTAAATCTGCACTACAGTCTATGTCATCCAGGTGTCACGGGAATGATTTATTGGGTTTGTGGCAAAAATCTATCGTATTCAGTTGAGGATATTAGGAAAATGATTGCCAACTGTTCAGAATGTTCACAGGTAAACCTTCGATTTTTCAAAAATAAACGAACATTAATAAAAGCAGCAGTTCCATTTGAAAGATTATACATAGATTTTAAAGGACCATTACCAAGTTCGACAAACAATAAATTTATACTCACTCTATAATCGATGAATACCTACCTACTCTCGATTTCCTTTTGCTTTTCCCTACCCTGATGTTTCAGCAGCTTCAGTTAAGAAGCACTTTACAAGTATTTTTCAACTATTTGGAATGCCAAATTTCATAAACTCAGATCATGGATCTGCTTTCATGTCTTCAGAACTGAAAAACTTTTTGCAAGAGCGAGGAATAGCTACCAGTAGAACTACAAGTTACAATCCAGGAGGAAATGGGCAAATAGAGAGAGAGAATGATATACGATTTGGAGAACAATTCAATTATAGCCTAGTGATTCTAGCAACGCCACTCAAATTTGGGTGGCAACATTCATGTGTGATTTTCATTATGGTTCGTCATGATTGGTTGAAGAAATATAAAGTTTGAGTAGTGATAGCTTGACAGTTCTACGCCCTCCGACGTCCGGAGGAGTTTTATCCTCTAGACTTAGAGTTTTGGACAGGTCTGTATACTTCGTTCGACTGATAAATTTTTATCAAAAATACACTTGAGAAATCAGATTTCAGATAAACTGAAAGGTAAATAAAATAAATATACACACCACGATTATTTGTAGTTAGTGACAGTATTCATTACAAATAGTATTTGGAAGTGATATTTTTTGAAAATGAGTGATAATTTGCGGAAAATGATTCCAATATCAGATACACAGGAAAGCAAATCATTGAAAGAAAAACGATTTAAGAAAGCTATCAATTTGAGAATTAAAATCAATAACGGGGTTAGTGGTAATAATGGACCCACGACACCGGTACCGGTGACTCCAAATAGACAAAAGTAAGAAATTAGCATCGATTTGATCAATAAGTCGTATGAATAAAGTTTAGAAAATGCTTTTATTCCATATTATATCCGTCTCTTCTTATTGCTGCATTAAAGCTGAATATGTTTATCTCAAAAAACTTAAGTAAAAGCATTTGCTTTTGTATTATTCATATTATGAGCCGTTATTATAAGAAAATAGGTAGGTCTTCTAATGTCAAGTATCCATTCTAGGTCATTGAATTTTTACACAATATTCAATCATTAACTTAAAACAATAATACATATATCCGTGCTTCAAATCTTAATCCTCAAATCCTTTGTTACACTTTTATCTGGATTTATATTGATTGATTTGTTGTAGTTTTATGTTTTAATTTTGACTTGTGAGAGTACCTACTTTATTTGTCTGATTTTTCTTTCAAAAATTTCACTGATGAAATCTTTTTTTATTCCAGCGATTCGTTTTCCGCCCTAGAAGAACTGCTACAATGCGGCATCTGTTTGGAACGACTTACGCATCCGAGAATGTTGCCTTGTCAGCACACATTTTGCCTTGGGTGCCTCAAAACTCACGTGACTGCGAGAAACCTCAAATTTGGAACCATCGACAGTCCTACTAATAATGACACTTCATCAAACATCAAGTAAGTTGAGCCTTAGGTCTCAGAAATGATCTTGATATTGGCGGGAAAGTGTTGCGATGGGTGAAAAATGCGAATCTTCAAACAATGAACATCAAATATTTAAAAAATATAACTTCAGTTGAGGAGAATTTTTAAATTGTTAAAGAATTAATTCAAAGTATCGACTGTTTAAAGAAATATACTGTCACAAATGTCCAAATGATGTTAATGATAAAAGAGTAGAAAAATGTTGAGCTGCTAAAAAGGAAGATTCAAGATGATGTAAGTGAGCCTCTTTTTATTGTCTCCTTGTTTTATAGAAATCCGAAATTCACCGTGGACTCGCAGATAAAGTCCATGTCATGCCCTGTTTGTCAAAAACACATGCCCTTAAGGGATGGAATCGATTCCCTCGACAAACTGCCTAGAAATCTCTATTTACAGTCACTTTTGAGAGTGGTAGAAGAAACCCCGATATCGCCAAAAGTAGTCGAAAACTACAGATGTGTCAACTGTCAAATGGCTTCCGCTCATCAAGAACAAGTTTGTCAACATTGTATGCAGGTAACAGTTGATTATACAATCTCTGTAGAGCCAATTTGTCTTAAAATAAGTTATTTTTTTTTTTTTAGATTTTCTGTAACGTATGTTGGAATGAGCATTTAGCTCTATTAGAGTCAAATCTATCTTTGTTAGTGAAACAACTAACTGAGTGTGAGGACAGAGTGAAACATAAGCTAGAAAATGTTTTTTTTCGTTGTGATACACTGGAAGAGAAAATCAAGAAAGCCACCATGGCTAAAGTTGAATCTATTTTACGGTAAGTATTTTTGTTGTGTGAGAAAGTTCATTTCTAACTATCCATTTCTAGGGAAGAGAAGCATGTTTTAAGTGAAGTAACCAGCATTAAAAAAGAAGGAGGCATAACTTCAGATATTCTGCTACACAGTGTAGCCAAACTAAGAGAAGAAATCATAGGAAAATCAAAAGTGAGCAACAACAACCACAAAGTAACCACCTACCTCAACCTCCATCGAGAAACCTCCAAAATTCTGGAGCAAGTCAACTTTTTCGGCGAAGCCAGACTTACTTTTGATCCAGACACTTTCAAGATGGAACAAATCTCCGAAGGCATCTACAACGACGATGACAATCAACAACAACACACACAAACCCAAATGGTTTCCAATTCGCCTGAAAATCTTGATTCGATGGCTGCGCATTATAAAGCTCGATCATTTTCACCGAAATTGGTGTGGAACAAATGTCCTAGACCGTCTGGATTGGGAATACCGCCTTGGGATGAAAACAAATTGTATATTGCTGCTACTGATAGTCATTATGTGTTGATTTTGGATAGGAGTAAATTTAAACTAATTGAACGGTAAGGTTTTCTGATGCAGGGCCGTAGCCAGGGGGGGGCATTCAAATGATTATGCCCTACCTTTAATACACAACATGCGTTAAGGTTTTTCTAGAAAATTTAAGAGTAGATTGAATAGGCCTGAAATCGAGTAAGTGCGAGGATAAGTGTTTCCGAAAACTCTTAAATGTATGCAATAATGTTTGACGTTCGACTTTTACACAGAGGAAGTTTTTGGTTTCAAAAGAGTGCGAATGCAAGGATAATACGATAATGCACACTACTACACAGCATTGCTTATCGGCCTCGTTTGTGGAAATCCCAGCCATATGGTGTAGCACCATTGACATCATCAATTGCGTCGTCAGCTGTTTACGCCAGCGGTCGTGGTTTAGAATATACATTTTGGATGAAAAATGTCATTTAATTTTGATTAACATAATAGGCAAAAAAGAAGATCTAGAAAAGCGTTGTTTTAGAATGTTAATTAATGTACTAAAACCAAGTAGGTATGCATAAAGCAAAAGCCCGCGGAATCATAACCTGTGGTGCAAACACCCTACGCCAAGAGAAAAACGACACGCTGGCTACGTCATCACTGGTTCTTTGGCGTGGTGGGGGGTTTGAGATTTGATCTACACAGGCCTTATGAGGATAAGCTATCTTACAGTAGTACTTATGACAAAAAACATTGGTAAAATTAGTGCAAAAAGCATGTATTTGCCCTATGTCAAATTTGTCATGCCCTATCACAAATTTGACTCTAGCTACGGCCCTGCTGATGGCATATTTATTTATAGAGAATTATTTATCCAAAATGACATTACAATAAAAAATCAAGCGAGGATTGGAAAGATTGAACATTTTATGAATAAAAAGTTTTGATTTATGTTGTGACATAAATTCCATGAATTAAATATTAATAAATTCCAGTTTGACTCACCCAGACATGTCTTGTCCGACTGGAATAACATTTTCCAAGTCCAGAAAAGAAATGTTCGTATCCGACAAATGGAATCATTGCATCCATGCATTTTCCAGTGCCGGAGAATATCTTAGAAACTTTTCCAATCTAAAATTGAGAAGTCCAGATGGTATAGGTAAGGAAAAAGTAACCACTAGGTACCTATTTTTTCAACAATTTCGAAAACTGACTATACAGGGTGGCTCAATGAAAAGGTCTGAGTATAATTTTTCAAAAATATACATACTGTTTTTTAGCAATTGGTCCCAATGAAGAACTAATCGTCTGCGACACTGGCAACGACAGAGTGCTTCTTGTGAATCCCGAATCCGGAGAAAAACTTGGAGTGATTGGTGTTCATTCTGGAGTTACTCAGCTGAATTTTCCAGCTAGCGTTGCTGTACATGGAAACGACATTATTGTTGCCGATTCAGGAAACAATAGAGTAAGAGATTTTATTTTATTCAATATTTATTGGGATTTTTTTAAATTTGTTTCTCAGGTGAAAATCTTCAATATTAACGGAGACCTTCTGCAAGAAATAGGCTCTCTTGGTAAAAATCCTGGACAATTTAGGTCTGTAGAGGTTGTAGCAGTGGATCGGTTTGGATTTATTTTGGTTGGGGATGCCGGAAATGCCAGGGTAAAGATACAAAACTAAATTTTTAGAAATTAATATCAAATCGTGTTTTTTTCACATTACGTCACATTCGTTTTTTCTTTACTTCAGATTCAAGTTTTCAAACCGGATGGGACGATTGTGAAAATTTTAGGAAGCAAAAGCGGATTTGGCTGGATTTCTGGCATACTTGTGACGCAAAAATTTGAGATCATCACTGCTGATATTAAAACGAGAAGCCTTAAGATATTTTGATAGGTGTTTTTAATATTGAATTAAATGCTTATATTAGTTAGGTATATATCTTATTGTTTATTGAAATGCAATAAATAATAAAAAAAAACTTGAACAATTTTTTGTGTTCTATTACCTTGAATATAATTATTTTCATGTTTCATGTGTAGTTGAATTTGTAGCAGTGGATAAAAGTTAACAAATAAAATGTAGACTAACATCTAGTTCTTCCCATTGTTCAATTTTAAATTTTTTAGAATTTAAAATGAGAAAAACGGTTTTCTAAATGTGTAACAAAAACTTATTTGGGTTAGTTTGGGTTAGTTTGAGTTAGTTTGGGTTAGTTTGGGTTAGTTTGGGTTAGTTTTAGTTTTAGTGTCATGAGAGAACGTCTTTGAAGGAATAGGATCTTTAAAAAAAAAAATCTGGAATGATGATGTAGCATGTAGCTTTTATTATGGTTTCTATCAACTCCAAGGTGAAATAAAGCTTGATGTAAATCAAAAAGAGATAATTTATTACTGCAAGTCTGACTGCAAAAACGTGAAAAAGTGTCAAGTACCACATTATCAGTTGCAGGTCGACACTAAGTATTAAAACTATTGAAGGATAGTTCCAAATACCATCGCAAAAACGTTTCATTTCTGATTTGAAAATTATATTGATTATTAATTTTTATTAATTTCAAGTCTATAATAATAAAAATACCTATGGTGTATTTTTTCCCAAGATGGATTTTGACATTTAATGGCGCTACACTTTCCTCATAGTAAAATGGATTGTATCTGGAAAGGAATTTATCAGAGTAGTTACGGCACTCAAAGTGCGATTCATTAGATTCACTAAAAGCTAATCCTATGTGCTATTGTTAGACGTAACAGATCGTCATGAAGCTGTTAGGGCTTTTAGCTTCATGTGGAGACAGGTCACTATTGGACTATTATCTTAAAGAAACACTACTTTAAAATGATCTTATAGAAGAAACAACTGGAACCAATGATTTTCGATGTAATGCTGGTGGAGTAGAAAATAATTTGTATGTGTAGCATGTAGTGAAAAGCATGTTGGTATATAAGAAGTAATGGCTAGGTTATTCTGTTTCTTTTTGCATAACACGGTTAAAAACGGTTATTCGCTGAAATATTCTTATAATGTGTCTGACTAGCACTATTTTCAATAAACTTCTGACTGACCAGGCAACATTTTATAGTATAGGCAATGTTCCGCTAATACTAGTTGCTACATGGTACTTATGGTAACTCCATATGTTCATTTTTTTATAAGAGAATAAATAATTTCACAAATGAAATGACAACTTTCAACTATCGTCAGTATCAAACTTACGCGGTTTTTTCACTAACCTGCCCCTACGAGTAAACACTTTAGTTTTCTGTGCTTTTTGAGACGGTACCTCAGCAATAGAGCAATTTAAATTGGACGAGTGTAATATAATACTTGTACTGGATTTGGGATGATCTTTAATTGTCGTAGAAGGAGCGGATATATTGGGCTCAAATTTTTTTAATAGTAAAAGATGCCTATTTCTTCGGTAATCTACACCATCAGGGGTGCAAACAATGAAAGACCTTGACATTGGACCTTTTTCAGTGACCAACACAGGTTCCTAAGATGTATTTGCAGTATTTTTATACATGACGTCCTACATTTATATCTGACAAATTTCTGGCATATTGATCATGATAATTTTCCATCTTATCCATCTTCTGTCTAACAAAATTATTGTATTGAACATAATCAATAACTTTTGGCTTAAGAACGCTTTCTGTAACTGGTAATTTCATTCTCACATAACGGGACATCAAAAGCTGAGCAGGAGAATATCCGCTAGCTTGGGAAGTGTTTCTGTTCTGGAAAATAGAAATATATAGATCAGTATTTGACCTACATTTGTCAAACAAACTCTTCACAGAAGCAACGGTTCTTTCCACTAAACCATCACTTTTGGAATAATTATGACTAGCCGTATGGTGATTTTTTTCCCCTTTAATTCAACATAATATTTAAACAATAGATAAATGCACCTAAACTAAAGACCCTGAGCTGGAAACGCTGGAAAGCTATGGGGGTCATTCAGTATCATATATAACATTATTACAATATACCGTATTATTATACATTATACAATGCACACAAAAGAAAATATCCAGTACAAGTAGGTACTGTATCACAAAGTTGTTGCATTTATGAATATATCAATTCTCAATTGCAAATAAAAGTCTTTCACTGTACAGTCCCAAAGTATCCATCGAAGATCAGCTGCTTCAGCTTACACTTGAAACAAGTTATGTTCAATCTTTTAACAGATTCTGGAATTTGATTGTAGTACCTTAGTCCTTCTGATAAGATGCTGCGTTAGCCAGTTGTAGTGTTCATTGACGACGTTCTCAAGTTCTAATTGAGTCTGGTATTGTGGTGATGGATTGTGTTGACTGGGATGAGACTTATTGTAGAGTGAATATTGGAAGTCTTGCAAGAATGGATAAAGATGCATGATTGCAAGATATACAAGAAGTGAATATCCAGGATGCCATTCGAATAATATAAGTCTTTTACTGGAAACAGAAATGGCAGCTTAAACAATTTTTTTATAACACGATTTTGGAGAAATGACAATGGATGCAGTTTGTTAAGGGATGCATTGCCCCATAGCAGAGTTAGATATGATATGTGGGAATAGATAAGGGAATTGTATATCATCTTACAATGCGTAATGGACAGATAGTCCGATATTCGACCAAGTACTCCAATTGCTGGTGTAATCTTTTTACATTATATGCAGGATATGCATATCCCAAGTAATTTTTGAATCGACAAAGATTCCCAGGTATTTGATGCAGTCTGCACGAGTCAATGGGAGACCTTGAAAGTTTATTGTGAAGTCAGGCCAGGACTCAAACTTTGATAATACCATATAGCTTGATTTTTTCCCATTCAAACTAAGTTTGTGGTAACAGAGTCAATCGCCTATTTTCTGTAAATCTTCTCCAATGATGATTTTTATGTTAGCAGGGTCCTTGTCAAAATTAGTGATGCAAGTATCATCTGCATATAAATTGAGAGAGCACGAATAGGTATGTATGACAGTGAGTTCATGTAGACTAGGAAGAGTGTCGGTCCCAGAATTGAACCTTGAGGCACTTCGTGTACAATGTTTTTGATTTTACTTCTGTTACCTTCACATTCAACATACTGTAGTCTGCCCGATAGATAGTCCCTAAACCACAGTAGTGCTAAACCTCCAATACCAGTTTTTTCAAGCACCTCCTCGAGAATTTTGTGATTTTCAGTGTCAAAAGCTTTTCGTAAGTCCAGAGAGACAAGACTTATATTTCTTATCGACCTTTTTATAAATATTTGTAATTAGGTCTGTAGTCGCTGAGGAGGTATTGCTGTGTCTTCTGAATCCATATTGACCCGCATATCAAAAATTTATTCCATACAAATAACTGGTTAATCTCATATTTATACAGGTCTCTACCTTAGACATAGCTGGGAGCAGGGAAATGGGCCTGTAGTTGTTTAGTTCTGTGCTATCACCACCTTTAAATGAAGGGACAACCTTTGCCATTTCAAACAAACTTGGTAGAGATGCAGTATTGAAAACAAAATTTATCAACTTACATAAAGTAGGCGATATTTCATTTTTCAATTCCATGATTGTATCAATGCCCAAGCTGTCAGTTCCAGGTCATTTTCCTGGTTTTAATTTGTTTATAACTGCAGTGACCTCCTCTGTCTGTAGTCACAGGTTCCCATTGATTTATATAGACAGTAGAAGTTGGTTGGAGTTGTCGCCAGTTGGTAGAACAGGTTTATTGAGTCACTTTAGTTTCATCTAACTAATTACAGAGATTTGTTTTTTAATTTTTTTCTCGATAAGGGTCGGTGATACGAAAAAACTACAAGAGAACAAAAAGTTTCTAAATAAGATAGAAAAATTATTTTGTTTCTTAGAATCCACCAGAGGCTCACCGCGAAAAAGTTCAGGGGCAGAAAAGGGGACATGACTCCTAAAAAAACATCACCCTGTAGATTCTGGCAAACGTTTGACATGTGGAATCATTCAACTCCTATTGCGTAACCTATATTTAAAATTTGAGCTTAATCTCTCAAAAATTGCAGGATCTATAAAGAAAAAACTGGAAAAATATTAAAATTTCAACACCCTGTAGATCGGTAACGAAGCGTTTGCGGACCTATGTTTATTCGAAATTTTAGTCATGAAATAAACCTAAGAATCACCCCCTTTCATTTGTACATGATATTTAGGTGTTTGTAATCAAACATGGGGAAATTTATTTTGGAGAGCCGCGGGACTGTAAACGGGTCGAAATTTGATCGCGGAACCATACAAAGACAATATAAGATAAGGCACCTACCTTGGAATCGCACAAGGCTGTGCTGTGTGCTGGTGTTGTCGCCTCACAGGAGACCCTGTCTCATTAACGACATACGACGTTCTATTTTATTGTAATTCCACTGGTCATTTCGAAAACGGTTAGATAATTTTGAGGTTCCAATGAATATTGTTGAGAGTTTTTGATTCAAACTATGTAGTCTTGGCTACAGACGCGTGACCTCGCACTACTCGAACTCGACTGATTCGACTACCATAGCGTATATGTGGTCCGGAAAATATCGAATTTTAAATAGACAAACAAATTCCCCTTTCTCCCAAACATTTGCACGAACATTAGGAACCTTGTATGATAGAAAAGTTTTGTTCTAGAGTGTTAGACCCTGGACTGTTGCTATGTTGATTTAGACTAGCAAAATGCTTTATTTCTTTGGTGAATGCAGCCATTTTAAAGGTTTTCTAGCGAATGTTTATTGTTAACGAGAACTACTGAGGAGTCTTCACTTTTTCTTAGATTGACTCTACCATTTTTAGTCCAAAAGAATTTATACCTTTTTTGTTTTTTGGTTTTCTAGGCTAAACTAAATAAACACCTGTTTCTTTGAGTCAGCTTATATCCTATGACTGGACAAAGTTCTTGAATTCTTGCGAGTTAAATGGAGGACCATTATCAGATACTATTGTAGCATAACGCACTCAAGTACTCTATTTAATTAGTTAGA